CCAGGGGATCTAAATAGACGGGTGAGAATTTAATAACGTGATAAAGATACACAAGTGTCTGTCCAGCAGCATGAGGTCACGGTGAAAGAATCTGATGGCAGCTCATGTGGGCCATCAGGACAGAAGATGAAGTAGACTACTGGCTCTCTAGGAGAAAGACAGATGGTGCATCAGACAGTTGATGTTTATGTAGAGATGCACCATGAGACATTAGAAGTGTGACTACTGTAAACATTCAATTCCTACCCATAATCCCTAGCCGTGTGTCCATCTCCTCAGACTGCCATGTGCTATGGATAATGCAACTTCATAGTTATATATTATATCAATATTGATTATATAGATATTAAAATAATATAATCTAGAATGTTTAATAATAATAATAATAATAATATACAATCTATAATTTAATAATAACAATAATAATAAATAATTTTAATAATTACTTATTATTATATTAAGTGGTGTTTGCATTGGTTTTTCAATTGCTTTTCATTGCTTTTCAAAACCCTTATGCCTGTATATTAACCTATATATATATATATATATATATATATATATATATAAATTTAGCATTCCCTCATAATTATTCTTTCTCCTCTAAAAGCAGTTATTTCAAAATATATATATATATATATATATATATATATATATAAATTTAGCATTCCCTCATAATTATTCTTTCTCCTCTAAAAGCAGTTATTTCAAAATAGTTACTCATCTGTCCATTATGGAAGGCCAATTATATGGAAGCCCATTCCCGCCACTGAATAAAATCTTTTAAAAAAGGTAACTGCGACTTTTTATCTCACAATTCTGACTTTTATTCTCAGAATTGTAAGATATAAACTCACAATTGCGAGTTATAAAGTCAGAATTGCAAGATATAAAGTCGTGATTTGAAGAAAAAAGTCAGAATTACACGTTTTTATTTCACAGTTGTGAGAGAAACAGTCAGAATTGTGAGATATAAACTCACAATTGTGAGAAATTGCCAAAATTCTGAGAAAAAAGTCAGAATTGAGATTTCATAACTCGCAATTCTGACTTTACATCTCGCAATTGCAAGTTTATATCTCACAATTCTGAGAAAGAAATCAGAATTGCTAAAGTTATGAGATAAAAAGTCGCAATTACTTTTAAATGTTTTATTCAGTGTTGAAAACAGCCTTCCGTAGTCCTTTGCGATAGAAGATAAAAGTAAATATTCCTGAGCTACATTTTTTGATAGCCATTTAGAAACAGCTTTTAATCTATCCACTGTAGTGGACAACATGCAAAAAAAGAGGACGTATTTCAGGACGTAGCTCCTTCCACGGTTTATATGGACATGAATGACACCTCAAATTTTGTGGCCAATTAGCAACCACTTAGCAACCTGCTCATGACCACTAAGAACAATATAGCAACACCTTGGCACCCACCACCCACAACGTTTATATTCTTTATATTCTTGCTACTACAAATGTAGGTTTTTGTGCCAAAATTCTGCAAATGTTCAGACAGTATTTCTAGATTCCCCTTTGAGCTGTATATAGTGAACGAGTATCTCTATCAGGCACCTTCAGTGTTGAATCACAATGGCTCTGTCGACACCTCATCCATCAGATCTCGTGTTTCACCGGCGGAGTGACAGTGTGTCCGACTCTGCGGCAGCTGCTCTTCTGTGCTGCCAGAGAATCATTAATACACCACACACACACCCTGCTCAACACAGGTGAGTGACTGAAAACAAACACCTAAGACACGACACCTTCTCGAGATATGTATAATGAACCTTTAGCCCAACACATTCTGGTGGCCTAATGAGATCTCCAACTGTCTGTGTGCGCACTTCCATTGTACAATGGAAATGAGCCATTGTTACAGCAGGAAACACCTTGCCCAACAAATGGGTTTTGAGAAAAGGCAAGTTTTTACTGGCAAACAATAAATGTTACTCAACTGGGTCATCTTACTCAACTGGTGGAGATGTCTCAAAGGCAGAGCCACTACAAGAAATGTCTGAGCGTATGTCAAGTCACCTTTATTTATATAGTACTTTATACAATACAGACTGTTTCAAAGTGGATTCACAGTAATAAACAGGAAAGTAATAGAATCAGTGATGCAAAATTCATCAAATAGCCTATGAAAGAAATTCAAATTCCACTGTAAAGCAGCTCTAAAACAATAGTGTCATTATTCAGCTCAAGTCAATTTTGCTAATTCAGTTCAGTTCAATGGCTGTGTAAAGTTCATCGATTATTAAACAAGTTCAATTTAGCTATAAGCAGCTCTACAGAAGACAATAGGGTTATTATTTAGATTCTGCCAGTTCTGTGTTGATTCAGTTCAGTAAACCCTTAGTCAGGGTAGCGCCATATTTAATTTTTGACAGGAATAAAAATTAGGCTATGAGGAAAAGAAGTGCAGTGCGTTCAATGGATTGTACTGTTTTTTAACATCATGGCTACCGATTGTTCAGCTGACAAAATGTCTTTCCAAAAAACTTTAAGTAGACAAAATACAGTTTTTATTCACTTAAAATTCAAAATGGCTTCTAAGAGAGAGCAGCTTCTGAGACATGCCAAAGCCACTGGAAGGCAAGCCTGCAACCTTTAGCCAAAAAAGTGTAACGGCTATTGCTAATGCTTTGGCGGTATGCAGGGAAGTAGACCAAAGGCCATTTTAGAGGACTGAGGTGCCTCATGTGAAGTTAGCCATTACACTTTTTCCAACGGTAAATACTACATTAAATAAGACAGTAAAATAAGACAATCTCTGGACGTGCGCTTAGGACTGCGCATGCGCACTGGCTGGTCTAGCCTGAAAAATAAGCTTTTTTAATGCTATTTGGGCAAAAGAAACAACATATATGAGACAGTGATTTCAAATAGGAAATTTAATCATAAGAATGATCATGAGAATTTGATGTTTCCCCATTCAAACAGATTTCAAAGATGGCTGCTGAGTGAAATTACTTGCCTTAAAGGGGCTTTGACTACATTTTTAGAATGCCATATCATATGTGAGACGCGAACGCAACGGTTAAATGCATCTAGTGCATGTGCGCTAGAAAAACAATGGACAAGCGGTGTTCACACCAATCACAATTTTTCAATGCATTGCCTTTTCTTCATTCCTCTGTGCTCTGTGTAAACTGCCCATAACAGTGTTGATGTTGCAAAATTCATCAGTTATGAAACAAATTCAATTCAGCTATAAAGCAGCTCTACACAAGACTATAGTGTTAAATTAATTGAAGTTTTATTCTCATCTGAGAGCAGTGATAGTTTCAGAAAAAAATCACTAGTATATTTCACAATTAATTATAAAGAAACAAGACTGACAATATTTTCTTGTAAAACATACTTTGATGATTTTCTTTTTTTTTTACAGATTAAGCAAGCCAAAGGTAGCAGTGGCATGGAACCCAAACTCCACCAGAAGACAGAGATGGAGAAAAGAAGCTTGGGAGAAACTGGACTCAGTCGAGGGGTCATTTCTGCTCTGGTATGTCATCATAACCTTCCTGAATTATGAACTGTAAGCTCAACATACTGCCAGGGCGTGACCCAAACCCATATGTACAGTATTCCGACCAGATGTGGCAGAGTTAGATTGGATAGCTCATAAAGCACGAGAATGATGTCAACCCTAAAAGAGGGCTGTCGGCCACCCAGCGTGTGATGAACAACCCATATCCCCTGCCAGATCGGTCAGCTGACCACGCCATATCCAATTACCCAAAGCTGAGTGAACTTATATGAGTATAAAACAATAACTGTTTATGTTGTCCTTTAGTATCACTAACAAAAAGTGATAAAGTTGGGACTCAGCAAACACTTCTTCCGATGCCCCTGTATGAAGGATGTCACCCAACAGGAGCTTTACAAACAAACAGCATGAGTCATTCATTCAAGCAGACAGGCACTGTGTGGAACAAGCTGAGCTTGTTAATGCGTTTTGCGGAGGTGGTTTGCCACAGACGTTTAAACATTGGTTTAAAACAGTGAGGGTTAAAAGTTAAAAAAACCAACAAAGGATCTGAGACCGACTTCAAACATGCAAAAGGAAATGAGTCTGTGCTGTGGGTTCCTCTTTTAAGTCTGTCACGGATCCAGTTTTTATAGATCAGGAGAAGTAATTTCAGTTGAGTATAAAATGCTGAAGGTGTGACCAAGTATTGCAATTTTCTGTCAAGGAAGTGCAATTTCACGATGATGCAAGCATATAATGCAAGGTGAGAAGTTGCATGTGATGGGTGTGTTTGTGAAAGAGGTTTGTTTATTGTCAAATGGCCACAATGCAGATCACATGCTCAGGATACATGTGCATGTCACATGAAAGACATCTTTGGAATTGAGAGCAGGAGGCAGACTAGACACTTTTCTTTTTATGCCAAAATGTAGACATTACAGTATTTTTGTCGCTATTCCAGTTTTCAAAAATATCTTCAAAATGGGAAACCGGTCCTAACTGCTCTCATGAGGAAATGACTCATTGCATCACACTGGAATCTTCCTCCTTGGGAAAATAACGTGCATACAATTCTCTAAAGAAATTACAATAACTTGGTCTTTTATATAAAAAGGTTTTATTTTTTGCCTTAATTTCTTGTCGGAGCATTTTAAAAATATTCCATACATACAATGAGAAAATGAGAAAACCACTACTGTGTCTTATAGAGCAGGATGCTGAAATTAAATAAACAGAAACTGAACTAATAATTCACATTTCTTAATAGGAACACTGTTCACTAACAGTGCAAGCATTTTACTGGCCAAAAAAAAAAAAAAAAAAGAAAAAAATAAGCTTGAAATATGACATTTCATAAAGTTTACTGAAATATACATTCTAACACTGCCCTGAACATCAAAATACAAATAATTATAATTCCAAAAATTCTCTTCATTAAATGCATCAAAAATATCAAAAATCGCATACCATTATAATATACTATTATTTTGATTTTCGGTCTAGCATTGTTCAGTTCTCATTTACTGAATAGACACGGATTACTACTGCTTCTTTTAATAAATAAAATATTACATCAACATACAACACAGAGACTTTCAAATACGTTGCCAGTGCATTAGGGCTGGACAAGGTTGGTCTAAATCCAAATAAATATTAATAGTTATATATACATAAATAAATAAATTAAAGCATAGCCAGCAACGATTAAATACACAGTGCACAAGACATGAACAAAAATGCTTATTTGTAAGAATACTTAATTTAGGCCAAGCTTCTTCAGTACTAGAAAAAGCCTCGCCTCTAAAACTCAAACTACATTCCCAACCCCGAAGAGTTCCTTCTCATTCTGTATCGAACAGCTCGGTTTCTCTTCCCGACCGAGTCTGTCTGTCAAGAGTTCCAGTTCGTGGCAGGTTTTGAGCTCTCCTGTGAACCATTTTTGCGAGTCATTCGTGAGTCAGGCCCTTCACGGAGACACCACGACGCCTGCCAAACAAATACTGTTACTCTATCCTCCTCTCCAGCACGCTGTGCCCGCTGCTCCGCACAACATTCAACTTTGCCACTTCATTTTGAGGTAGAATTTCCACACGGTTGCCCTGAAATAAAACAAGAACACAGATGTCAGGCGACTGAGTCAAATCATGCTGGATGATTTTATGCAGCATGTACGAATGGATGACCTCGCTCACCGTTCTCTCCCGTCTCGTTTAGTGGTGTGGGGCGGCTCCCAGTTTAACTTTCTCCTCATTTTCCACATTATATGCACCTTGCTTGTGAAACCTAGATGATACAAAGATTGACATTATGATAGACTGCAGACATCTAATTGCTCATAAAAAATTAATGGGGGAGATTAAATACAAACCTGAGTGCCAGTAAAAGTCCAATGATGGTGAGACACAATGAAGAGAGAACCACGGCCACCACAGCAAGCGCTGTAGTGCGGTTATACTCTCCCTCATTCTGCTTTACTTCCAGGGAGAAAAGGTGACATCGCTCTCCCGAATAGCCCTGGTCACATCTGGAAAAAAAAAACAGCCATTGATTCTCTTAAACGGCTTTAAAATATAACCATTTCAATAAAAGAGTGACAAAAAAATACAGGAGAAATGGTTTAAAGGAAGGGCTTACATGCATGAGGGCCCCTTTAAGTCCCTGAGATTCTGGCAGGTGCCGTGGATACAAAAGTCCTTGTACTTTTTTAGACATGGATTCCTTTTCTTGCCTTTTCCCTTTCCTTTGGCCTTCTTCCTTCCGAGCCCCTTCCTCTGCGAGCCTTCACGTTTCTCCGCATTTAAAACTGCACTCGGGTCTTTGGGTTTGCTTGAAAAAGCAACTGTTTTGGTGGGAGAGAAGAAGAAATGTAGTTATTCATACTAAAATTTTAACTACAGCATAAATGCAAATCACAAAATCTGTGACGAATTGCTTATGCCCCTCTATTGTAAGTCACTTGGGATAAAAGCATCGGCTAAATGCGTATGTTTAAATTAATTACCAAGTGGCACTTCGTAATCCCCTGAAAACTCATCCTCCTCTTCATCATCATAGTAATACTCGTCTTCCTCCTCATATTCCACTTGCTTGTTGTCCACAGTAGATCTCTTCTCACTCAGTGCCTCCAAAAGATCAATCACAGCTGTCTGTGCAGGCCTCTCGCTCTCAAACCGCTCTATAGATGCACCGCTCACCGATGTGACAGCCACTGAATGGAAAAACATAGTGAATAGCCATTAAAACTTAGTCAGTTAGGCTGATTGATTGTTAAATGTTTATGCAGTGGATTGTTGACTACAATGTAAATTATATACTTGCTGGTGTCTCAGAATTGTATTTTTTAGTCGTATTTTTTGTAATTAATGCATAGAGCCCACTAATATTTTCCCTTTTAACTAGAATAAATACAATCGAGTTTATTTCACGATCCAGAGACTGACATGCAAATAAGCATGTTTTAAAACTAATAATAGGTTGTGTGCATTACCTAAAACCCTTAGAGGGTGCTGAGGGGCTTCATTTACAAAAATCTTGCATGCACAGACACTGAGCTAACGAATGAATGCATGAGACAAAAATAAATATATCCCAGAATATTCTTAAAACAGAATGACTGAATGACATTGTTGACCCATTAATAGGTTCACTGGCAAATTCGAAGTTTTCGAAGAAGAAAAAAGCCTCAGTTGAATATGAAACAAGTCATGTTATGAATTTCCACTTACTTTATTAGTAAAACCAAAGTTTCTTTATCAAAAAACGGAGTATTTTACACTTCTATAACTAGCAAAGGGTTGTAATGCGACACCCTTCAGCAACAAGCAACCTCGGTCTGTCAGTTATACTCACCGATGGTAAAGACGAAAAGACGCAAACTAGTTAAAAACTTCATATTTTCCCTTCTGGTAATGACGACGATAGATTCAGCTGTTAAAATGAAAATCCTTCCCACTGTGTTAATTCCTTTGAAGCCACCGTAGATTGTTACTCAGTGTCTTCAAGCGTTACTTTGTTACTGTGAGCGTCTCTCGTGCGTCAAGGTTAAAAAATCAGCCGCGTCTCAGTGACAGCCATTTAAATATGACTGTGGCCACGCCCACTATAGAGCTGTAACAGATTGTGTATCAAGACAAACTCCTTTGATGATGTTTTATTAGCTGTTTTATTGGTCTACACCTCTTCTTTTTTTCACAAGTTTTAACCCTCCTACTGTGCTACAAATCTACACCCACCTGTGATCATCTGGCCTACTTTGTAAACAATTAAAAATGCATGACTTTTTGAATAGAGCACATTCACTTTTGGTATTTCATAATATCTCACAAATTGTATAACAAATTGTATATTCTGGTATTAGTAAAGTAGGTATTATAGATACAATTTTACAGTTTCAGCATATTTCACAAATAACTTGCCATTGTAAATAAGGCTCACTTTGAAAATCCATCGCAACAAATCTGCTTATCAACATTCTTTACTGAAATGACCCAAAGACAATAAAAGGTTAAAAACAACACCTGCCATGGTTTTGATCACGAGTTTGAAGTAATAAAAAGAACATAATATTATGTCATTATAATTTCATTTGCAGGAGAGCCATGCAAGTGGATCAGTATAAGCACATTAAGGGAAAATATTTATGTAAACCATATTGAATTTTCGTTCAAAACATGTTCATGTGTTTAAACAGACATTAACTAATGCTCTGATAATGAAATGAATGTTAGTTTTAATGAAAGTTACGGTTCAAAACACCTGTAGTGAAGCAACTAAACCAGATTCAGATTTGGACTAACACTGTGATCAAATGAATGAATGAGAACATGTATGAACAAACATTAAATTGCTTTATGGGTTGAGATCTAACAAATCAGTTAACCTTCATTATTTTTAATCCTTGACATTATTACCCACAATTGCATTCTTTCATAATCACACATCGTGTCTTTTAAAAATGCTTTGCATCAGACAAGTCTTTCCCTAGTTTTGGAAATACACTGAGCAGAAAGCATAAAAACGAGAAAAACAGCAAATGGTCTGTGTTTCGCCATTTAAATCAGCAAAACGGCGTTCGCTACTGCCATCTAGTGGATACATTAAACTCGTACATAGACAGTCCAACCAATATGCACACATAATTTGTTCAACTTTAAAAGGTTTAAAATATGTCTGTCCGTATGTGGGTAAGTTTTTCAATCTATTTTTAATATGTTTTACTTTTTTTTTTTTGATTTTGGTTTATTTTGTATTTGATTTATTTGATTTCTGTTCAATATCTTCGTTCTTTCTGTTCTATTCGTCTTATTTTTTATGCATTTAGTCATCTTTCTATTTTTTTTTAAATCGATGTCTAAATATAGATTAAAAAAAAAACTCCTCGATCGCCGATCGATTTGTCTCCCCTGAGCGATCAAAAAGCGATTGCTCTGGTCTCGAGTCACATGTTTTGACAAGTAAACATGGCGGACGAAGATCCAAACACCAAAGTTGAATGCGAAGACGTTCCTGCAAAAGAAGAACAACCAGTGGCTACGGAACCTGGGCAAAATGATGTCGCCAGCGATACCGACGAGGTCCAGAAGGACAAACGGGCAGACAGCTCCTGGTCGGCGCCGATTCTGTCGTTTGCTCGTAAAGCGACGGAGACGCTGAGCAGTGGAGTGAATCACTACAGCGCGGGGTTAAAGGGATCGGACGCATCACAACACACCTCTGACACCTCAGAGCCCCCAAAGACAGCAGGTATGACACCTGTTCAGCTCTCTGATATTTAAATATAGGGATAAGAAAGTTAACTGACTGCGCTTACTTAGTAAGATAAGTAGTCAATAACAGAATTAAAAAAAAAAAAAAAGTACAACGATAATGCCATATTTTTGGAAATGGGACCTTGGTATTGCCATAATATTATATATAAATTTACATGCACACTACTTTTTTCCACAACGTAAATTGGTGCGTCGCGGATGTGAACATTTTTAAATGCACCATGAAAATCAGACGTTCAGATTGGTACGAATGTATAAGGGAAGGTGTGTAGGTTTACCATGAAGTTTTTAATCAATTTTTTGAAATTTTTTTTTTTTGGTTTACTTAAATAGCCCTGTGGGAAAAGCCAATCTGAAACTACAAATATCGCTTGCCGTGTCATATTTTAGATGCCAGCTACTGCATCTATATGTAAATTCCCAGTTTTGTTTTAGGAAAAATGTATAATAAAATTAAAATATGTGCAGTATATTATGTTTAAAGTATTTTTCACGTTTTTCTACCTAATATATTGTTCTGTGTATTATTTAAATTATTTTTTATTTATTCCATTTTAAATTATTTATTTAAAAATGCATTTAATTATGTACGCTTTATTTTAATCTACCTTTTAATTATTTAATTTTAAACTGTAATACTGTAGTTTATTTTAATTATTCTTTTTTGAATCATATTGCCTTTTTTAATCAAATTATTGTTACTTTTCTATCAAAATTGGCATTTATTTTAGTGTAATCATATTTTTTGTATTATTTTATTTATTTATTGTTTTTACACTTTTCTTTTTTGTACTTTTCCATGGTCCCCCAGCTCTCCCTTGTGTCTTACTGTTTTGAAAACCCTGTCATGCTTGACATGAGAAAATAATAATTGCTTGTGTATTTTCTTGACGAGAAGTATGAAACTGTACTAGTAAAAAAAATATATTGTGGATTAGAGTAGAAATACTCAAAATTATAACATGCCAAACTAGAGAACACTGCTGACACTGCTTGAAATATCATGTCAGCTGCCCAAATACTATGGTATATGAACATATTAAAAGTGATGTACTTTAGTAAATGACAAAGAACCATGTTATCATCTGATTGCAGCACTGCTCCATCAAACAGTACAGTTTTGTAATAGAGATCTATAAGTGTACCATTCAAAAGAATGTACAGGTCCAATTGATTGCATCACACAGGTTAGTGTATTCATGAGGTCAGTCCTTGCAACTCTTATCGGGGCATTATCCATTTTGATTAGGCATCTATGAGTATAACAAGTGATTTATACATTTGAATGCATCTAGTGTTATATGGTGAAAAACATAACCTTCATTTGTGGCTTTTTTGGGGTATGATTCCAATATGTAACATAATTGTATTGTAGACCATTACAGTATACAGGAAATGAATAATGCACCTGCTTCCTGACTCTGAATATTTTTTTCTAGCAGGAAAATCCACTTCCCCTCAAGTTCAGTTTAAGCCTCTTTATTTGTTATTCTAAGATACCGTAATATTTAAGTCATTGTGTTTTCATTTGCGCTTAATTATACTGACTCACCAGTTAAACTGATTAGTCCTGCAGATGCCACAGGAAGTGTTTGTGTTAATGCATCTGTGTTGTCCAGCTGTGAAGGATCCCATGGTGGTGGAGAGGTCAAACCTCCTCAGCATGATGAAGCTCAGCATTAAGGTTCTGATCCAGTCCTCCCTCAGTCTCGGCCGCACGCTGGACTCTGAATATCCACCTCTGCAGCAGTTCTTTGTGGTTCTGGAGCACTGCCTTAAACATGGGTTAAAAGGTGAGATGGGACATAAATGCTAAAAGTGAATGTAGAATTACGAAATGTCACTGCGTTCATAAAGGTAACTCTCACAAAAACATACTCCGGTCACGTTTCACCCTCATAATCAAATGAGAAGAATAAAAAATTATGTATTTTCAAAAATAAATATTTTAGATTTATTTATTTATGTATGTATGTATCTATTTATTTATTTGTTTATACAAAATATATGATCTATCTATCTATCTATCTATCTATCTATCTATTTACATATTTATGAACATAAAGCTTATTTGACAGAGCTTACAGTGTGACTTTTAATTTGGATGGTGCACATTTCAGTTTGAGGTGATTCTCGTTATTTTAATAAAGTCATTTTTATTATATAAAATTATTTATTGTACACTAAAAATAAAATGCTGCAATGTAATTAGTTTCGACAAATACCTCCATGATTTATAAATACTTCAGAGCAGTGTTCTTTTCATATCATTGATATACTGTTTTTAGTTTTTATGAATATTTTTGAATGAAATTTAGTTTTTATATTTTCTGTTTTCAGAAATTGAAGAATGAGAAATGTGGCCTTGGTTGCTAGCTGAAATGCAATACGTTTAATATATGTATTTTTATATATTTTATTTCAATTTCTGATTGTTTTATTCAAGCAATGAAAATGGTTTTCTGTTTTTAATTGTAGTCAACAATAATAACGCTGCTTCGGGGTTTTAATAAAGTATTTAATAATTTTTTTTCAAGAGGGAAATGTTTAATTGTTATGAAAACTTAAAGGCTACATTTCTTGAAGGAAAATATGATTTTTTTTCTTATTTATTAGGGCCCAAGCCACTAAGGCGCAGGGGCCTATTGTTTTCCTAAGGACTATTATTATTTTATTTTATTTTTTTCTTCGACTATCCGGGGCCTTTTGGGGGCCTTAACATGCTCAAAAACTCTTGAAAATTTGCACACGCGTTGGAACCTGCGGTCATTAGGACGCCGCAGAGGCTGGGACCCGGGCGTGGCACAGGGGCTCTACGGCGCCCCCTGGAACACAGTCGGAAAGCTTGATGTATAGCTCACACATACTTGCACGTATTCATATGAAACTCAGTACACATATAGATGTCATTGAGCCAAACAACTTTTGCACTGCATGTCATAGGCTCCGCCCAACAGGAAGTTGGCTATTCAGGACTGTGTAAAAAGTGCATGCTCTGGAATTTGATATACTTGTCTGAGGATTTCCAACCGATTGCCACCAAACTCGGTGAACATGATCTCAGGACATTGGGGACGCAAAATTGCCAAGGGATTTTTGATATCTCAAACGGTTTGGCCGTGGCGAGGCGACGAAATGATGGCGAGAAATAGGAAACAGGATGTGTCTAATAACTGTTGCACATTTGCAGCTATATTTTGTTTTGATTTTGGAGTGTAAAACCTAGATATTCTTGACAGGTTTTGTGAAATTAACCCATTTTATGGCCTAAATCCTGCATGTCTCTGTCTCTCCTCCTGTGCAGTAAAGAAGACTTTCATTGGTCAGAATAAGTCTATCTGGGCTCCTCTGGAGTTGATGGAGAAACTGTGCCCTGAGTCAGCTGACATTGCCACCAGTGTGCGGGATATGCCTGGAATCAAGTAGGTTCCCATCACAGGCGTTTGTCTTGAATATAATATCCTGTCTGAAACCGTGTAATAGGAGAGCGTGAGGTTCATGAGGTTCTGTGTTGTTTCAGGACAGGCCTCGGGCGAGCTCGAGCGTGGCTTCATCTAGCTCTAATGCAGAAAAAAATCGCAGACTACATGAAAGTGCTAATAAATAGAAGAGACCTTCTTGGGTAAGAGCAGTTAAATTCCAATGATCTTTAATATTTAGACTCTTCTACAGAATTTGTGTAATATCATACAAAATACAGTATTGTAGTGCTATTCAGTTCTGGGCTTCCCAATGTAAATTCATGGTTTTTTTTCTGTCTCAGGGAGTTTTATAACCCCGGGGCTCTTATAATGGAGGAGGAGGGGGCTGTGATTGTAGGGATGCTGGTGGGTCTGAATGTGATCGATGCCAATCTGTGTGTGAAAGGAGAGGATCTGGATTCCCAGGTGAAACATATAGCTGTCCAAACCATGTTATCAGATGTGCTCTTTAACACTGACACTAAACACTGTGTTCTTGTTTCTGCAGGTGGGCGTCATTGACTTTTCAATGTATCTAAAGGATCCGCAAGCAACTGAGAACACACAGGAGTGAGTGTGATCACTTAGCAAAGATTAAACATTAAATCACTAATTACATGGCAAGAACTAGTTTAGTAATTTTGACTCTTTCTAATTCTTTAACTGCTAACAGTGATTCAAAAATGACAGCCATTCTTGACCAGAAGCACTACATAGAAGAACTGAACCGGCATCTGAGCTGCACAGTGACGGATCTTCAGGCCAAGATGGACTCACTGGAGAAGACCAACAGCAAACTCATTGAGGAGGTGGAAATATTACATTGATTGTTTTTTTATGGGCTTTATTATGACCTTATATTTTGCATATTGTAATTTCTTGGTTCTAAAATGTGCACATTATTAAATACAGGATTAACATGGAAAAATACATTTATTTGATGTACAGCTTACAGCAGCCACAGACAGAATCAACGCTCTGCGCGAAGAGCAGGAACAACTTAAACAGGAAAATGCAAATATTCTCCAATCTAGTCAGAGGAAAGAGGAGGTGAGAATTGCAATAGAAATGTTATGTTATGAACACAATCAATCAGTATGAAATCATTTTGAAAAATCTGCCTCTATTCACTGGAAAAGTCGCTAGAAAAAGTTTGGAACGGATCCTAAAAATGGCCAAATGTAGGCCTGTCTGTTGGTTTATTACTAAAAAATTAATCCATGCAGTATTTTGTCATTCCAAAAGACGGTTTTATTTACTAAGAAAGTTTTATTTACTCACTTTGGATTGTTGTTTAGGTGACTCTACAAGACAGCCAGGTTGAGCTAGAAACATATCGACAGACACGGCAGGGTTTGGATGAAATGTACAGTGTAGTTTGGAAGCAATACAAGGAGGAGAAACGAATCCGGCAGGTAAGAATAAAAGAATTCAGCTCTAAATGTAAAATCTTTTTCGAATTTGAGTCTGTATTGTATTGCATAGTATTAAAGGAATAGTTCAGCCAAAAAAAGAAAATATACTCACCCTCATGTTGTTTCTTTTTTCTGAGATATTTTGAGGAATGTGGGTAACCAAACAGTTGCTGGTTCCCAGTTACTTTCATAGTATGGGAAAAAAAATACAATGAAAGTCAATGGGGTCTAAAAACTGTTTGGTTACCTTCATTCTTCAAAATATCTTCTTTTATGTTCAACAGAAGACAGAACCTCATATAGGTTTAATAAATGATGACAGAATTTTCATCCCTTTAATGCATTAATGTAACTATAATATTTTATGGAGCCAAAGTATCTAAATAAACTGTTTGGCAAATCAGGAGCTGCAGAAGGAGCTGGAGCTGCAGATCGGTCTGAAGCAGGAAATGGAAGTTGCCATGAAACTCCTGGAAAAGGACACGCATGAGAAACAAGACACGCTGGTCGTGCTTCGACAACAACTCGACCAAGTCAAGAATCTCAACTTACAGATGTTCAACAAAGCACAGGTGTTGCATCTTATTGTCTGAACAAAATGTTACTGGAATAGTAACATTTACCTGTTACCAATTGAAACTTAAGTCTTGTCGTTTAACCTATAAAGGAGTCTGACCGAGTGGCCCAGAAAAAAGTGGAGGACATGCAAGAGCTGGAAGAGAAGGTGATTCAGATGGAAGCAGCCATGAAGGAACTAGAGCAGAGGTGCCAGGACATTTTTAAGGAATAATTCACTTAAAATAATTCATCATTTACCCACCCATGTGATGTTCCAAACCTAATGACTTTGTTTTCCTTATGATCTTTGGAAGAATGTAGGTGAAACAAGTCATACAGGTTTGAAACAACATGAAGATCACAGATATGTATGAAATGATAATGATATGTGTGTAGTTTTTCTAGACCTGATAAAGATGAGTACTTGCTCCTTAGGCTTCAAAATTCAGAAAATGTGCGCAAGAACACTGATGAAAGCCAGAATGAGCTGAGATCGGAGATGAAAGGAAAAGTGAACGCTCTGCAGAAGCGTCTCGCTGACCTCGACACACTCCGGTAGTGTAAATCAAGCTTCGAGAAATGCGCTAACTTTGCTGTCATAGATACCTTGAAGGGATAGTTCATCCAAAAATAAAAAATGTTGTCATTTCTCTCGCGTGCTTAAGTTGTTCCAAACCTGTATGCATTTCTTTCAGCTGATGAACACACAAAAAAATATTTTGATGAATGTTGGTAACCAAACAGTCGACTTCCATAGAATGGAGAAAAAAAATACTATAGAACTCAATGGCTACCGTCAACTGTTTGGTTACCAATATTCTCTTGTGTGTTCAGCAAAAGAAAGAAACTCATACAGGTTTGGAACAAGTGGAGGGTGCATAAATAATGATGGGTGAACTATCCCTTTAAATTTAAACCAGCTGTAAAATATTTGTTTTGAATTTTTCCTTTACTGTTATAATCACTTTAGAAATCTCATCCTGCATTACAGAACAATTTTTAAATAAATTTTATTTATTTAATATATTTTATTTCAGTTCATGTTTATTTTATTCATTAAATACATTTATTTTAATTTAATATTTTTTATTTTATGTATTCCCCCAATTGTTTTTGTTCTCTAAAGATCTATTTTTTGTTGAAATGTAAGTTTAAAAATAATTAAATAAAAAACGATGGGGTGAAAAAAACAACTTTTTTTTTAAAGGGGTCATAATTTCACCCCTCTAGATTTAGATTTTTTTTAGGTTCAATTGTTGTTTCTGTTCTCTTTTCAGGGCAGGCCTGGAGTCAGAGCTCAGCACAGAGAAGGAGCAGCGGCAAAACCTACAGAGGGAGCTACACAGAGAACAGGACAACAGCGCAGAGCTGCGCACACAACTGCAGCAGCTGCAGGGCCTGCAGACGGTCAGATACACTGCTGCTTCAGCCATAAAACTAACCAGTACAAGTCAATAAAGACTTTAAATGATACAAAATCAAAGCAAGAGTGAAGTTTTTGTATTATGGTGTTAATCAATTATGACACTCTGCCTTTGTTTCTGCAGGAGCTTCTTGATCTTCGACAGGAGAAGAAACAGCTCCAGCAGCTGTGCGAGGAGCAGGAACAGGCTCTACAGGACATGGGCCTTCATCTCAGCCAGTAAGACAACTCCACTCATATTTTCTGATATTTCTGGATAATGACAGTTGTCTTCTGTAGAGCTGCTTTATAGCTGAATCGAATTTGTATCATAATTGGTGAACTCTGCAACACTGACAGTCTTTTTGAACTGAATTGAATCAAAGCTGAACTGACTTCAGCTGAATGATGCTTTTGTCATTTTAGAGCTGCTTTACAGCTGAAAGTGTTCATTTGCAGCATGCTAAATGTCTTGAACTAAAATCCTGCTTTCAGATCCAAACTCAAGATGGAGGACTTCAAAGAGGTCAACAAAGCCTTGAAGGTAAAAGAGCTTCATGAGGTAACCTTTATTGTGTCCATTTGCACAGCAAAGCTAAAGATCCCTTCTTAGTATTGCTTTCCAAGTATTCCTGTTTTTTTTTTACTTTGCTGTGTAACTTTTTGTACACTTACTGATGTGACTTACTTTTGTAACATTGTCTTTACTGTCACTTTTAATCATTTTAATGCATCCTTAATAAAGGTATACATTTTTTTTCCCAATAATTTAAGTAACAAGTAACGTTCAGTATCCCAATAAATTTGTTTTTTGACAATTGTCTTATCAAGGGTCATGCCTGGCTAAAAGACGATGAAGCTACACAGTGCAAGCAGTGCCAAAAAGAATTCTCAATCTCTCGGAGAAAGGTGAGTGATGCTCCACTCTTGTCACTACACCTCAGTCTTTGGCATGTAACTCAACTCGTTTTTTCTGTTTGAAGCACCATTGCAGGAACTGTGGAGACATCTACTGCAACAGCTGCTCCAGTAATGAGCTGGCTCTGCCCTCGTTCCCCAGACCTGTCCGCGTGTGTGACATCTGCCATTCCCTACTGCTCCAGAGAAGCTCCATCGGCTCCTCCTGACAGCATTCAACATCTCTGCTGATCGTGTGTGTGTGTGTGAGAAACTACACGCCAGCTATATTCATCAAACTCTCAATCTCTGTTTTTAACACTTATGCGTTAATTACTTGGCTTGTTTGACTAAAACCTTTGATTGTTGCAAAACCATATGGTTTTTTTTTTACAGGAAGACGCAAGGATAATTAGAAACTAACATTAATCTGATTGTATTTATGATAGTCTCCATTTTAGGGAGAGCACTAACATATATAAGCCTTTCATGTGTTCACCAAGAGTGGATGCAGAGGATTCATATTTCGATACTCATGCTTTTTAGTATCCTCTTATCAAAATAGGACAGAATTAATTTTGTAATGATTTTGTAAATTCTGCTGTGTTCAATTTTATTTTTTAAAGGAGACATGGAATTACTGAATTGTTATCACTAATTTTCAAGTGTATGTGCTTGTGCTATAAATATTTAATCTGTGCATGTCATACAAAAAAAATATACCACTATCAAAGGTCAAAAGTTGGGACCAGTTCCTGTATGAAGTTAGTAGATATGCGAATTGTTCAACAAAATGTGTAAATCATTCATAAATCCAGTCTTACAGAAATAGAATTGAATAACGATGGTTTTATGAACACATTTGTAATGCTAATATCATGAATGAGGCCCAAAGTCTGTAAATGATTTTTCATTGTCCAAAGACAAAACCACATTTATAGTATGCAAGACTAAAGAGCAGATGGATTGTATTTTCTCCAACTTTTGTTGCTCATGCCAGTCAAAAAAAAACATTTTTTACAAAATTTTTAAGGCTCTCGGAATACAAAATGTCTGTTTTAGATTGTATGAGTGTCCTGTGTTGTACCCTCTTTTGTCTCCTGTTCAGTTCATAAAGCTGTAATGAAGTTTCTGAAGATTTGATAGAATTGTGTACGGTTTAATAAACACTGCCTCAAATTAGTATTAATCCATCTGTGAAGCCATGAGGACATTTGTCCACTACACTGAAATCACAGGTGATACACTGCATGGGGAAAAAAAAGCAAATGCAAACAGTAACATGCATCTAAATGAAACCCGTCCATGTCCCACCATGCTTTAAAGTTATACAAAAATCTTTTTTTTTTTCTAAACTTAAACACTCTTTAAACGATCGGCCTGGAGTAAGCATTAAGTACATGCAAAACACCTTTGCAGGAGCCAAAAGTTTAAGATATGATGCTACAGTCACTGACAGAGTGAAACCTCCGTGTGCAAAGACGTCACGCTGTATGAAAGGCTTTGATAAAGTTGGCCTAAAGAGGAAACAAATCACCTCTTTAATACTCTACTGTAAAAACAGATTTACAGGCACCTCTCCAGTGTGATACGTGGGCTGTCACATTTCAGCAAATAAAGTTTCTCTTTAACATAAATTACTACCTCTAGTCAGGATTTGTTTTCAACCATGTCAAAAGGGAAAAAGAAGTTCAGCTCCAAACACAACTTGGAAGGGAGCAAGGAACAAAGAACAAACAAATGAAAGAGGACACTTCAAATTAAGGTTATAAAGCAGCTATGAAAGGCCTGGACGCTACATCCCCCAGCCTCCCCCCATGCCGCTGTTGAGGCCGTTCATTCCCATGGACCCGCGGCTCCCTCCACCGTAGTAACCGCTCCCCATTCCGCCCTGATTACCTGACAGGAGAAAGAAATACACATTTTAGGACCAGGGAGTTCTCAGTGCGGAAAGAATCGCCATTTATACTATGACGCTCAAGGCCTGGTCACATGACAAGCGATGCAGGTTTGTCATGGAAGGGTGATTTACATGGTTATTATAGTTAACTACACAACAATTAAAACCATTATCAAAAACATTTGTCAATTGAAATACAAAATTTATTTCAGCTAGTTGCCAAGTTTTCATTTTAATGTAATTTAACTTAATGTAATAAAATAAAATAAAACTAATTAAAAAAAAACTACAAAATGACAAAAACAAAATTACTAACACTTTGAAATAAAATGAAAACAAAATACACAAATAAAACTTGATCAAATTATTAATAATTATACCGCAATACTATTATGCGACATTTTAAAAATTCCACATGAAAAGCAACTAGATAAAGTTTGTAGACAAACTTTGCTGTTGGCTTGAAAAAGCCTAGCCAAAAAGTCTGAAGTAATTTTATAAGCTTGAAGTGTAAAGGGTTTCAGTTTGAAATAGTTAAGTTTTAATTTACAAGTTTTAAAAGATAAAAATAAATAAATAAAACCAGCTGATTTAACAAAAAAAAAAAGTTAAAAACTAAAGTGTTAAATAGGTTAAAACGCAAAACCCAGTACATTTAGACAAATTAAGATAATTAGACAAAAAAAGCAACAAAAAAACCCCAGCTAAAACCAGCAGATTTAGCAAAAAAATAAATTACATTTAAAAAAAAAAGCTAAGGAAACAACTTAAACCAGTTAATTTAGCAAACAAAAGCAGTAAGCGGTATCATAAGAGATATAGAAGTCATCGTTAGCTAACTATGGTCGCAAGTTCCATTAAACTCTATTGGTAACAACGGAACTTGCGGTTTAGTTGTTTGTTTTTACACAATGGCATAACCCATGTAACGATACATCAGGTGAATTGTCTGGCAATCAATAACTGCACTTTAGTTTAAATGGTCAGATGGGGTCAAAGGTGAAACCATTTAAACTTTGGGTGTAAACATTACATCAGTTAAAGTGCATGCAATCCAGTGTCAGAGATAATGCTGGTTTGATGATTGGGAGACTTTGATGGAGGTCATGTGATAGGGCCTTGAGCAATGCGTCAAATTCTAACCCACTTGGACCCCTAAAAGATTCCACCAGCTTAAAGAACTCTCTGGATGGTCTATTTGGAACCAAATTATACATCCCAAAATACTAAGCCTTAACCAGCAACATGCATCAATAAACCAGCACAATGCAATCAATAAAAACAAAAGCTTTTTTTCTTTAATTATGTATCCTGTGTACAAATTCTGCATGTCCTAATTCAGAGACTGCATCTTTCGAAGGCAGCATTCCTAAGACGTCAATGCGGGGCGATAAAGGCTAAATGCATTAAATGGAGCCTCAAAATGAGTCCTTCGTTTCCCGGACCATGAGTGCTGCAACAGATGAATCCTTCACAGTCCAAACTATCCCAAGATTCACTGTGCACCAGTAATAAGAGGACTTTTATTGAGAGAAAAAGCGGAATTGTACTTTTAAATGTACTATTGGGTTTCAATTTACTTATCAATATAAGAGTCAAAAAGTCTAGTACAAACTTTACTGCCACTCATCAACAGCAGCTGTCACAGTTTCTATGCAACAACAGCAATCCACCATTAGCAAGACCATCCCATTTAAACAATACTTGGTTTGGCCTTCATAGACTTCAAAGAATGCAGCCCCTGTATTGGGTGGGACACAGATGATGTCATTTATAAAATGATCAAATTAAATGCCTGTTTTGGTTAGTAAGCTAACCATCACCATAATCTACGCATTTTACATGCAACCTTTACTGAATTGTGCTCTCTGTTAAATATGTGAACATTATGATATTGAAAGGTACACATTTATTCAACAGAAAGATACTATGTAGTCAATGTAAAATCCAGACAAACTTTATTAAAATTATATTATTGGCATTGAAGTACTGTTTAATTGTGATTGTATTTACCTCATCAGCTACAACAGGATAACACGAAAGGCTTTTTAATCAGGCATTACAAACAGCTACCCCTAGGGGTCCAAGGGCGATAGGATTTGGCAGGGAACCGGCTAGCAGAGCTACGGAAGAGCTGACACTCACTGTAGTCACTGTAGCCCCCCATGCCACTCTGATTACCATAACCTCCGCTGTAGCCAGAGCCCATCTGTTGGCTGCTGTGTCCGTATGATGACTGGTTTCCTGCAGAGCGACAATTATGCATTTATGATAGCTGCTCAGATAGAGTTACTAATGTCTGAAGGAGAGGTGAAGAAGAGGTCTTACCCATACTGCCCATCATTTGGCCACCGTATCCTCCACTTCCGCCCCCTGATGTGGAGTTTAGGAACAGCTCCACATAACGGTGTTCTGCATGAGAATAAAGGCCCATTCACACCAAGAACGATTACAAAATGTATTTAGCATCCACTCCAACAGAAGATAACATTATGTGTATTATAAGCATATGCCGCAGTTTTGTCGTCTGCCGGTTTATATGCTAAGTGGATTCTGATTGGCTATCAATGTTTTTGTCATTCATCAGCTTGAAAAGTTGCTTTGTCAGTTAAGCCTAAAGTATACTTCAGTTTTTACACGTCCGCGAGGTTCAGCGTACAGTGCGTGATGCGAATTTTAATCATCAGAATAGTACGCGCACCGTCTGATTTTTGTAACCGCATTGATTGGTTTTGCACTAATCAGTTGTTCCACAAGGTGGCAGCACTGGCCCAGGCCGTTGTTTTACAGTAGAAAATGAAACTAAAGAGAACAACAACAACAAAATAACGGAGAGTGCAACAACAATAGACAGCCGCACTGACAAGCGCTTGTGTCAGGGGGTTATGAGAGAGCCGCAACTTTAGTTGAAAAGAGTACAAAGACATTTTTATCGGACATAACGTCTAGAAAAAAAACAACAGATGCTGGACAAAGATGAAGCTTTCCACAGTGCATGTGTCGACCGCCTGCGTTCGCTCACACTATCAAATGGAGGATACTTTGAAAGGCTGTGCGTTCGACTGTACACATACGCTAGCGAACGCGTACAAAAACAAAGTATACTTTGGGCTTTAGGCTCCAGAATATCATCTATCATAACCAAAGTTTTATTAAGGTGTTCAGTTTCCTTCAATAGAAGAATGCAGACATTCAAGACCCATTAATAGGACTGAATTTAAACGTATAGTTCACTCAAAAACAACTTCTCTCATCATTTACTCAATCTCAAGTAGTTCCAAACCTTTATGAATTTCTTCCATCTGCTGACACAAAAGAAGATATTTTAAAGGATGTGGGTAAACAAACAGCAGACTTTTAATTTTTGGGTGAACTATCCCTTTAATGAAAATCATTCAGTTTTACTTCTGTTTCTTCTCCTAACACTTACGCATATTGGCTTTGTCCTTTGACATGGCTGCCACGGCGTCCTCATGTGTGGCAAATTCTACATCCGCCTCGCCCGTTACTCTTCCATCAGGGCCGATCTCCAGGTGAACACGCACTGGGTTCAGTGGAGAGAAGAACTAGAGAAGAAAACATGGAGAGAGACAGTGAACAGGACATGTATGTAATCAAATAAACGCTTTGTATTAACAGATACTTGAAATAAACACATATGTGTGTATAAGGACTCACATTGTATATGTCAGTTTCAGTGGCTCTGTATGGAAGGCCTCTCATGTGCACACAATGTCCCGTTGTGCTCTGAAAGGAGGAGCTGCCGTCTCCATAACGACCATCTTTGAGGCAAATAAGAGCAAGAACAAGTTAAGAAAAAAAATATTCTGCCTGATAAGCCTTTCACTGTCTGTTTTACTTAACTGTGCACAAGTATCTTGACAGGAAGCTGTAGAAACAGGGCAAGATTCAAAGATTTATCTCAGAGTAAAAGCAAAGCTATTCCTTTATTCTTCATTTAGCAGAGGCTTTCTTATCTAAAGTGACATAAAACAGTTTATTACAAGGAAAGTTCCTTGAAATCACATCAGGTTTGAAACTACAACCATTCAGTTAGCAGTCCAAATCTGCAACTATTATTTTGGAACTACTTCAACCGAGTGCCATAGTGTCTACATTTTTATCTATATGCACATTACCATTCAAAAGTTTGTGGTACATTTTTTCTTTTAGTTTTTAAAAATTATACTTTAATTTAGCAAGGATGCATTAAATCAAAAGTGACAGCAAATGTTCTTTTTAACTTTCTATCAATCACATAACCTTGTAAAAATGAAACATCCACAAAAAAAAAAAATCTGGGGTAATCATAATTTTTTTTTAATTGATAAGTTTTTTTCAGCAAGGCAGTACCTCATCAAAAGTAACAGAAAATATTTTTATATAAAGACAATATTTAAGACTAGCCTATATTTTTATTAAAGGGGTCATATGATGTTGCTAAAAAGAACATTATTTTGTGTATTTGGTGTAATGAAATGTGTTTATGCGGTTTAAGGTTCAAAAAACACATTATTTTCCACATACTGTACATTATTGTTTCTCCTCTATGCCCCGCCTTTCTGAAACGCTCGATTTTTACAAAGCTCATCGGTCTGAAAAGCGAGGTGTGCTCTGATTGGCCAGCTATCCAGTGCGTTGTGATTGGCCGAACACCAAGTGTGTGACGAAAATGTTACACCCCTACCATACTGTGATGCCCTGTCCGGCCGGAGCGACGAGACAAAAACATGAAAACCCATTATAAACGAGGCATTCGTTGCATCCAGTGGGGACATAATTACGGATTATAATGACTTATACTGTCTTTTGCCGCATAAACGTAAAACCATGTCTGCATTTGTGATCGGAGAAACGACAAACAACAAGCCCTACTCTACTCTGCTCAAAACTCGCATTTGAATCATCAGTGGCAAATTCTTTAAATATAAAAAACGTACTTACAGACTGTGAGTCAGAACAGCCGGCATTGTAGTCTACTCTC